GCCAGGTCGGTCTCAAACTCCCTGACCTACAGGTGATTCTCTACCCATCTGGGTCTCTCACAGAGTGCGCTTTGGATACACGCGTGAGCCACCGCACCCAGCCTTGATCTGCTGATATCACTTTGTAAATACTAGCTTTAAACAACAAGTACTTATTGAAAGTTTATTCTGAGCCCAGCCCTCATGATAGTCAGTTCTTAAAATCCACAGGCTGTCATCAGCACATAAAATAGAACTTGCTTGCTCTCAAATATTCAACTTTTATCTATAATATTGCCCTCGGGGTCCAGGAATGAGGAATGTGTTTATTGTCATTTCATGCCTGAGACCCATGTCTGAAAATGTAGTTTGGATCAGAATGAAACAGTGTAAGTGGGAGTCTACAGAGTTCCCAGCACAAAGCTGCTTGCTTTCTCTCGATTCTGCTTTGGGTCAGAACACAGCTTCTTCAACATGGCCTTCAATTCCTCTATAACACCCCACTGTGCACAGCTATTCAATTGCTCAGTGCCAACATAAAGCAGTCTAGGAAGTGGTTTTCATTTGCCCCCCCATCTTGCATTTGCCCAAATCTCCCTCACTCTAACACTGGACATTTCTTTTCTTACAGAAATGCAGGCAAAGTGCCTACCAAAACAGGCTTCACAAAAAAGCACAACTGCTGAAGCCTTGCAAAGGTCAGCACCCCTGCCATGACATTTATGGGCATTCACTGTACTGCCCCTGGAGGGCCAGTTGCTGGAATCACCTGCCTCCTGGAGGGAGGTAAGTAACAGAGCTGGTTGGGGCTTGTTAAGTTGGTTTCCAAGGAGAGGAAAAATGGAGGATACTTCTGGCTTAGTTTATGGCCATTTAGGTACCAGAAAATTGTAACTTTGAGAGAGTTCAAATTCTACCACTTATTTATTCGCTTAATCCAGTTTTCTTAAGTACCTATTGTGTGTCAGGCATGGTTTTAAGAGAGTTGGGATTCAATAGTTGGACATGGCCCTGCCAACAACATAGTCCCTGCCCTCAAAAAGCATATAGTCTTTGGAAATAAGACTATTACATATAATTAATTTTCTGAGTAAAAGGCAATTTAAAAAATAGGACAAATGCTGTGTTAAGTAGAAGACACACGGGGCACACCTGCTTAAGATGTATAACAATGATGAACTCAGAAACTCAAATATCCACTCAACACTGGAGAAACGAGCCAGGGTTTCTGAGTGTGAAATGACTTCAACCCAAATCCCATCATAGACTAAATCAGAACCTCTAAGGAAATTCGCTCTGTCACTTTTCTGTAGTGTGTTTTTTGGCAAGTCAGTTAACTTCTTTGAGCCTCAACTTATCCTGCATAACAGGAGAACAACAGTATCAGTACCTCGTGGCTGTGTAGTGCACTAATGAGAACATAGTAAACATTCAACAGAGCACTTGGCTTCACTATCCATCAAAGTAGGGTTATGTGATGGTCGTGAGGCCCTGGTCAACCAAATTTTTGGGGTGAAGAAAGTCATTTTAAGCCAATAATGTATGTGTTTTTAAACCTCTCCAATTATTTATGAAGTCCAGCTAGAACTTTATGAAGTTCTCTTAAAACATTGCTCTAAGAAGCAAAATTAAATGCCTGAAGGAAAAAATAGAAGCTAACTAGTGAACCAATACTAAAACAATTAGCATGACTTTGCAAACTACATTTGGAATCAACAATACACCAAAACACACCAATTTTCTATTTTCAAAAGCAAGCAGCTAACATCTCCTCTGGGAAACCATAGTGATACAAAGGACAGAAGAGTTTGAGCTAATATTTTCCACAGTGATCTGGAATAAAGAAATGAAGTGCTATTTTTTTCCTGCTCCAGAAACTTTTACAGAATGCAGACTCAAATATGGCTGAAGCTTAAGAGAATGGCAACACTTTGAAATGTCACTCCTTTTGAGAAGTCTTGTTTTACTTCTTTTCTAAAAGGCATCTTTAAAAATACTTCAATGGCAAACATCCTAGTTTAAAATAATCAACTTTTGGAAACATGTAGAAATAAAATTCTAAGCACCATATTCTTTAATTCAGCCTTGGCTGGAAAGTCTATTTCAAACAGAAGCCACAAGCCTCAAGCAATTAAATAGGAACCACAGGAGAATGAGAGATTACTGACCTAGATGTATGCAGTGAGAAGAGAGTTCCACAACAGTCCTGTTAGAAAGATGAGCAAACACCTACATACCAGACTGTAAAACCTGGGTGAGGGCCCAGGTGCGGTGGCTCACTCCTGTAATCCCAGCACTTTGGGAGGCCAAGGTGGGCGGATGGTGAGGTCAAGAGATCGAGACCATCCTGGCCAACACAGTGAAACCTCATCTCTACTAAAAATACAAAAACTGGCTGGGCATAGTGGCTCACGCCTGTAATTCCAGCACTTTGGGAGGCCGAGGTGGGTGAATCACAAGGTCAGGAGATCGAGACCATCCTGGCTAACATGATGAAACCCCGTCTCTACCAAAAATAAAAAAAAAAATGAGCTGGGCGTGGTGGCAGGCGCCTGTAGTCCCAGCTACTTGGGAGGCTAAGGCAGGAGAATGGCGTGAACCCGGGAGGTGGAGCTTGCAGTGAGCCGAGATCATGCCACTGCACTCCAGCCTGAGCAACTGAGCAAGATTCTGTCTCAAAAAAAACCCCCAAAAAACCAAAAAACAAAAAAAAACCACCCAAAAATTAGCTGGGCATGGTGGTGCACACCTGTAGTCTCAGCTACTTGGGAGGCTGAGGGAGGAGAATCGCTTGAACCCCAGAGGAGGAGGTTGCAGTGAGCCGAGATGGCACCACTGCACTCCAGCCTGGCAACAGAGTAAGGCTCCGTCTCACAACAACAACGACAAAAAACCTGGGTGACAAATACAATTATTCTCTATTTTATATATTTCTATATTCCATATTCTATCATATAAAACTGAATTTCTACCGGGTCTATTTGATTAAAAGGGCAAAAAACTTTCCTTTAATGTTGAAATCTTTGTTTCAATAGTTCCAAGGACTGATTTGTAACTGAGAACAAATTGTTTGTTGTAGAAAACTGGTTACTTACAACTACGAAATATGCTTGTCACAGGAAGCTGACTTTACCCATTGACCCAATCATCACAACACCCTCACTTTAATTGAACTAGAATTCAATCGGTATAAAAAGGACCATGTAGATTTTAGAAACAAAGGCCAAATAACTTCTTTGTTAGAATTTATTCTTAAGAGGGAAAGAAGTTCCCTCAATACATTAGCTTATGATAGAACCCAGAAACTCGATCGATACTGTCTATATCTTACCTAAGTCATTGTTTTTTGTTATAGCATTAGCTGCCCTGGTTCGTGGTCCCTGCTGTGTAAACTGATATCCAAATTTAAGGATATTTGTATTTTCCTCAAGCATCTTGGCCATTTCCAATTCTACAGCTGTCCCCAACTGCTGCCTCTGGAATAATTAGAAAAAAAAGAACAGTATTAATAAACTAGATCAAAATACTTTTCTAGGTAAATTAAGACATTCAGGCACATGCTGATTCTTTGATCTCTTTAAAAAATGTTCCCAATTCCTACAACATATACATAGTTCAGAAGTTCCAAGGACTGATTTGTAACTGAGAACAAACTGCTTGTTGTAGAAAACTGGTCACTTAAAGCTAAGAAATGTTTGTCACAGGAAGCTGATTTCACCCACTGACCCCATCATCACCACAGCCTCACTGGAACTTTACACACGCACACACACAAAATAAACTTTTTAAAGTTCAGTAATATGATCATACAGACATCAAAAAAGTGTGAATTACTACAATGAGATATACTTCATACCCACTAGGATAAGTATAATAAAAAAGATAGATAATAACAAGTGTTGGCAAGAATGTGGAAAAATGAGGACACTGCTGGGAGGAATGTAAAATAGTGCAGCTACTGTGGAAAACTGTTTGGCTGCTGCTCAAAAAGTTAAACATAGAGTTACCATGTGACCCAGCAATTACAATCCTGGCTATATAGAGAAATGAAAATCTATGTCCATGTAACAGTTTGTAATGAATGTTCATAGCAGTATTATTTCTAGTGGCCCATAGGTGGACACACCCCAAATGGAATAGAATATTATTCAGTCATAAAAGAATGAGGTACTGATGTATGCTACAATACAGATGAACCTCCAGAACATTATGCTAGGTGAAAGAAGCCAGTCACAAAAAGATCACATATTGTTTGATTCCCCAGATACAAGCTGTCCAGAATAGGCAAATCCTAAGAAACAGAAAGTGGATGAGTGATTGCCAGAGCCTGGTGAGAGGGGTGAATGGGGAGTGACTGCTAAAGGGTATGGGGTTTCTTTGTGGGGTAATGAAAATGTTCTGGAATTAGTGGTAATGGCTGTAAAACTCCACAAATATACTAAAAACCATTTAACTGTATATTTTAAAAAAGTGAATTTTACTGTATGTAATTATATCTCAATAAAAAATTAAAAACATGGATTAAGAAGCACTGGGTTAAATTTTAAGACATAATCCTCTTTTCTACCTTCATAGTTTACAAAAGTTGTTTGAAGGACTGAAGGAGACATTTACCAAATATTTTTTCAAATAACTGGAGTTATTTTTTCAAATAAAAAAATTAATAGCTAATCTGGATGGAAACATTGCTAACATGTATCTCTCTGCCTCTTACTTACAAAGACCCTACAATGTGGACCTTGCCAGCACAGAGCTGAAAAATTGGAAGGTGGACTAGGTCACAGGTAAAAGTCCTCTCAGTTCAAACTAGATAGCCATCTAAATTCTCTTAAAATGATCTAGGGAGAGTATACACCTTTACATTGTATACACTGTTATATACACTAATATTCTAGATACCCCAAATGTCCGCTCTCCATTCAGCCCAGAATCTTTCAACAGGGATCCCTGACAGCCCACCTCCCATCCCCATCCTGAGTCGCCAAGCCCTACATAGCAGTGTGGGCTGTAGCTTCCTCAACGTTATTGTTGTAGAACATTGACCTGATTGTCAATCTTGAGCTCTGCCAGGGTTTCATTATCTCTTAACGCATCAATCAGTGCCAGAATCCCAACTCCTGTGATAAAGTTGGACTCCACATTTAAGCTCTTCAAAGTTTTGTTCACTTTCAGCATTTCTGCAAAAGCCTAGAAATTAAAGAAAATATTAAGAGATGAAAATTTGATATAGTACCTACTACATATTGTACCTGTCATAAACAAATATATTAATTAACATAACTGCCTTAATGTTTGTCATTAGTTGTTTCAGTTTGACACAGTAGCCCATAGCTCTCACAGGTACAGTTGTCCCTCAGTATTCATTGGGGATTCGTTCCAGGACCACCTGCAGATACCAACATCTTCAGATGCTCAACTGCCTTATATAAAATGGCATAGTATTTGCATACAACCTGCACACATCCTCCTTTATACTTTTCATTATCTCTAGGTTACTTAATATACCTAATACAATGCCTACACATCATTTCATTTTTGTGGATTCAACACAGTATCTGGCATACAGCAAATTCAGATTTTGCTTTTAGAAATCCATAGAATTTTTTTTCCCAAATATTTTTGATCTGAAGTTGGTTGAACCCATGGATGACTGTATCTACTTTTCTTTTTCTTTTTCTTTTTTTTTTTTTGAGACAGGGTCTTGCCCTGTCACCCAGGCTGGAGTGCAGTGGCATGATCACAGCTCACTGCAACCTCTGCCTCCTGGGCTCAACTGATCCTCCCACCTCTGCCTCCTGAGTAGCTGAGACTACAGTTGTGCACCACCATGCCCGGCTAATTTTTGTATTTTTTGTAGAGATGGGGTTTCACCATGTTGCCCAGGCTGGTCTCAAACTCCTGGGTTCAAGCAATCCACCCACCTCGACTTCCCAAAGTGCTGGGATTACAGTTGTGAGCTACTGCACCTGGCCTGTACCTATTTTTCATATGCACCCTGTCATAATCTTTAGATTTTTTGGTCACGTGTAATTCCCTGTTGGTGACATTCTCTACTCCTCATTCCCTACTTCATGCTTCTTTCTTCTGTCTCTCTCACTCTTTCAGTTTCTGTGTCAGACCAACTTCATCAATGTCCCTGGAACATCTTTTCTTATTTGGGTCTTGCTGTAGCTGGACCATGTGAAGCCAAAATGAGGGTAAATTATGTACTAATTTCCAAGGCAGGGGCCAAAAAAGTGGTCAAGGCAGAAGGCCAGAAAAGAACACAGATAACCAGAACCAGAAGAGCACAAAGGCCATTGAGAAGAAGGGGCTAATGACATATTAAATTCCTCAAGTAATGGTATGTCTTCGATCTGCTTTTGTTTCACTTCTCATAGGATACGGCACAGTATTAGAAATTTGACTCAGTGCTTAATAAATACCATATTGATTAATTAACAGAAGCCTACAAGTGAAAAAAGAAAGAGGAGGGAGACTGGGAAGGAAAGAGAAAGAGACAGAGAGGTAGGAAGAGAGAAGAAGGGAAGGAAGGAGGGGAAGGAAAGAGAAAGAAAAAAGAAAAACGATCATGAGTTTATATAAAACAGCCCCGTAGGGGGATTAAAAGCAAGCTTAAACTACAGAAAATATGGGTAAGACCAAGCTTAAAGTTAAAGGAAAGGCAATAGGGGATAGAGATACTACAAAAAACTGTGGCTGATACCTACATACTTGTCCTTTCTATTAGCAACAACTAGCTATGTGAGCTGGAACAAATCCCTTATCCATACATTTATTCAAATATTACTGATGGTCTATTATTTGATTAGCACTGTTCTAGAGAATCAGAAATAAAACATATTGCTCCTTGCCTGGCAGAATGTTCCTTCTAGTCGGGGAGGGACGCAGATAATAAAAGTAAGCAAAGTGCAATGTTAGAGGGTAAAAAGAAAAAAGGCACAATAGGGTAGAGGGGGAGTACTGGGGGTGGAAGTGGGGTTGGTATTTTATATAGCATGGTCAGGAAAAGCCTCACCTAGAAGGTGACTTTTGAGCAAAGAGTCAAAGTGATAAGGTGAAGTTATGTGGATTATTTTAGGAAGAAAGTTCAAAGCAGAAGGAACAAAGGTACGGGCCCTGATTTGGGAGTCCACATGGCATGTTGAAGAAGGCTGTATGGCTAGAGTAGAATGAAAGAAAGGGCAAGTAAAGGAGATGAGATTGACTTATGTGAAGCCTTATAAGGCCACTGAAAGATTTTGATTTTTACTCTTAATGAGATGGGAAGCTGCTAGAGGGTTCTCCGAATAGGAATGAGATAATTTAACTTAAGTTTAAAAGAATCACTCTTAGTGCTATGTAAAGAATTGATTTTGGGGTAGGTAAAATAGATGAAGGTAACTCAATTAGGAGGCTGTTGCAATAATCCAGGTGGGAAAAGATGGTGGCTTGGGTCAAGGTGGTAGTTGTGAAAATGGTGAGAAGTGGTTGGATTCTGAAATATTTTGAAGATAGGGCTAAAGGTATGTTTAAGGTTGCAAGAAAGGGATGTCAAGAATTATTCCATTATAATTTTTTTTTTGCCTGAGCAATTAAAGATTGAAATTGCATTTAGCAAGATAGAAAAGAGCAGAGAAAAGCAGGCACAGGATGGAAGTCAGGAGTTTGGTTAAGGACTTACATGTAAGATGTAAATTAGACATCCAAGTAAAGCTGCTGAGGAGGTAGCTGAACATGAATACAGAATTCCGGAGAGAGATACAAACTGTAGATAACAACACCGGGAGGCATCAGCAAGTATATAGAGATAATATATATATTTCTGAGATTACCCAGGAAGTCAATATAGACTGAGAAAAGAAGGACCAAGTTCTGGGCCGTTCCAATATTTAGAAGTTGAAGAGATGTGGAGAAACCAGTTCAGGGCTTTGAGAAGGATTGTCCACTGAGGTAAGGGGAGCCCTCAATGGAGTGAGTGATATTCTCAAAGCCAAGTGAAACAAAAGGTTTATACCATGATCAAGTGGGATTTATCTCAGGAATGAAAGGTTGGTTCAACATATAAAAGTCAATCAATATACCATATTGACAGAATAAAGGACAAAAACCATATGATCATCTCAAGAGACACAGCAAAAGCATTTAACAAAAATCCACCACTAAGGATCCATAAATGGAATCCTCTGAAGATGTTAAAAAAATGTGGTAGATCCCTATGTATTGATACAACAAAACTTTAAAGATAAAACGTAGAGTAAAAAATCAAGTTGCACAACAGCATACACTACATGATTCCATTTATGTTTTAAAAAATTCATAGGAAGGAGGGGGAAGCTGGGAGGGGGAAAAGTTCATAGGAAGGAAATACAGGAAAAAATAAACACAAAAAGGTGGTAAGTAATATACTGCCTAATAGTGAGCTAAAAGATTAACTATAAAATAAAGGGGTAAATCTCGTTCATAAAAATCACCACTGTAACACACCCTGGGTATGTCATAATTTTGATATTCTCAAGTAGCTTACTTACAGTAGCAACAGGGTCATTGCTCCGGGTGGCTGCAAGACTGAAACATTTCACATGTGTGTTGGTTTCCAAAGCCTTTGCAAAATCTTTTAGGGTTGGAATTGGGATATTCTTGAAAGACAATAATATAAAACATCATTACATTTCAATTTTCATTATATTTAGTTTCCATTAATCAAATATTTTTTTTTTTGCTTTAAAATTCAGAAGTTATACAAACTCATATCTCCACATTTATCTGACTTATTTATGATGGAGCATTTGCATAAACTACTGACTCAGAGCAGTGCACATAACACCATTTCTCTAGCACTTAGATTTAAAAAAATTCTCACTATTCTCACCTTTCATTATTCTTTGTATGTATGTATGTATTTATTTATTTATTTTGAGACGGAGTTTCACTCTTGTTGCCCAGGCTGGAGTGCAATGGCGCAATCTCAGCTCACTGCAACCTCCATCTCCGGGGTTTAAGCAGTTCTCCTGCCTCAGCCTCCCAAGTAGCTGAGATTACAGGCATGCGCCACCAGGTCTGGCTAATTTTGTATTTTTAGTAGAGATGGGGTTTCATTATGCTAGTCAGGCTGGTCCCGAACTCCTGACCTTGGGTGATCCACACTCCTTGGCCTCCCAATGTGCTGGGATCACAGGCGTGAGTCACCGCTCCCGGCCTTCATTATTCTTTTTATATGAAAATAAAAGTGGATTTACTTTTCTACAAGGAGAGAGATGAAGGAGCCCATCTCTGATGGAGTATGATTCCTGAGGCAGACAGACTGTTCTCAGTCACTTAGTTTAAGCTACAAAGTACTAAGAGAGATTAACCCTACACTACTTGAAGGAGAGAAAATAAAGTATTGAAGATGCTGGTTTTTCTCAGTAGTGTCTGAGACTTCAATTCCCCTTAGCCTGGTTATTTTCAGATCATTACTGTTTATTTAGAGAAAGGGATACACAGGGACCAAATTAAAAAAATTAAAATAGGCCGGGTGCAGTGGCTCACACCTGTAATCCCAGCACATAGGGAGGCCAGGGTGGGCAAATCACTTGAGGCCAGGAGTTCAAAACCAGCCTGGCCAACATGGTGAAACCCCATCTCTACTAAAAATACAAAAATTAGCCAGGTGTGATGGTGGGTGCCTGTAATCCCAGGTATTCAGGAGGCAGAGACACAAGAATCGCTTGAACGTGGGGCGGGGCAGAGGGTGCAGTGAGTCAAGATCGCAGCCTGGGCAACAGAGCGAGACTCTGTCTCAAAAAAACAAACAGGCCGGGCGCGGTGGCTCAAGCCTGTAATCCCAGCACTTTGGGAGGCCGAGACGGGCGGATCACGAGGTCAGGAGATCGAGACCATCCTGGCTAACACGGTGAAACCCCGTCTCCACTAAAAACTACAAAAAAACTAGTGGGGCGACGTGGCAGGCGCCTGTAGTCCCAGCTACTCGGGAGGCTGAGGCAGCAGAATGGCGTAAACCCGGTAGGCGGAGCTTGCCATGAGCTGAGATTTGGCCACTGCACTCCAGCCTGGGCGGCAGAGCGAGACTCCGTCTCAAAAAACAAACAAACAAACAAACAAACAAAAAAGTGAGTAATCAACTATGAATATAAGCTTTCTCTGAGGCTTTCCTTCCTCCACTCACAGGAAGGATTACTCCCTAGAGGAGCACAGAGGCTTTCTTCCCTAGGCTCGTGATTTCCAGATGCTCTCCTGCCCTTGTCCCCCAGTTCAAAAAAATCAAGTTTTAAAATAAGGAATTTATAATGAAGCTTTTACACAATGGCTAATATCTAGATAATCTGAGTTTACTCTTCGGTGATTAATTACCCCTATGCCCTCCTAATTTCTTCTTTCCTTACTCCAGGGAACAGCTGCATTGTTTAAAACTCAAAGTAAGATCCCAGAAAGCCTATTCCTAGGTGATTACTCAAGAGAATTTAAAGCATGTTCACACAAAAACCTGTGTGTGAAAGTATATAGTGGCTGTATTAATAACCATCCCAAACTGGAAGGAACCCATATGTCTACCAACTGATGAACAGATAAACAAACTGCAGCGTATCTGACACACTCACCAGGAAAGAATCTCAAATGCATTATGCTAAGAAGTCAGACCCCAAAGGCTACATACTATAGCATTCCATTTATATGACATTCTGGAGAAGGCAAAATGATAGGGAAAGAAAATAGGTCAGTGGTTGTCAGGGGCTAGAGCTGGGGGCCAGAGAATGACTACAAAGGGGTATGAGAGAACTTTTGCAGTGACAGATATATTCTACATCTTGAGTGTAATGGTGGTTGTACAAAATTGTATGCACCTGTCAACATTCATAGACCTGTACATTAAAAGGGAGATTTTTACCATATTTAAATTTTACCTCAAAAAAACCCAGGTTTTATTTTTTGAGATGGGGCGGTGGCAGGTCTCACTACGTTGCCCAGGCTGGTCTCAAACTTTTGGGTTCAGGCCATCCTCCAGCCTCAGTCTCCCAGATAGCTGGGATTACAAGCATGCACCACCATACCTAGCTAAGGAACCAAATTTTACAAAAGCAAGACCCAAGAGGCTAAATGTTCTTAGAAGCGGGCAGTATTTAGAAAACCCGAGAGATTTATTCTGACAGTTTGTAGGGTTTACATTTTTAGATGATAAATTTCTCAAAAAGCAAGTGAGAAAATACTATACCATAACACTTCAGTATCTAAAATATGAAGAAACCTATGTTAGCATACTGGTAAGAGCAAAAACTTTACCTTAAAGTAGAAAGAATTAGACTATTTTATCAACTGCCCAGCTCTCATCCTAGGTTCAGCCGACTCAAAGCAATACAAAACCACTCTGACTAGCATACTTACCTTTATATTATTCAAATTAACTTCAACAAGATAAGCATCATTTTCTTTAATTCTCTTCAAACTCTCTTCTACGTTGGTTGGATTTGGTGGCTCATCAAATACTGGAAGAATCTTTTCACCTTTGACCACATCTGCAGTGATAAATGAAAAGAGCAGCAGTTGATACTTTTTTTTTTTGAGATGGAGTCTCGCACTTTCACCCAGGCTGGAGTGCAGTGGCACTATCTCGGCTCACTGCAAGCTCCGCCTCCCGGGTTCACGCCATTCTCCTGTCTCAGCCTCCCGAGTAGCTGGGACTACAGGCGCCCACTACCACGCCCAGATAATTTTTTTTTTTTTTTTTTTTTTTTTTTGAGACGGAGTCTCGCTCTGTCGCCCAGGCTGGAGTGCAGTGGCGCGATCTCGGCTCACTACAAGCTCCGCCTTCCGGGTTCACGCCATTCTCCTGCCTCAGCGATCTCGGCTCACTACAAGCTCCGCCTTCCGGGTTCACGCCATTCTCCTGCCTCAGCCTGCCTGGTAGCTGGGACTACAGGCGCCCGCCACCACGCCCCGCTAATTTTTTGTATTTTTAGTACAGATGGGGTTTCACATTGTTAGCCAGGATGGTCTCGATTTCCTGACCTCGTGATCCGCCCGCCTTGGCCTCCCAAAGTGCTGGGATTACACGCGTGAGACACCGCGCCCGGCCCCGGATAATTTTTTGTATTTTTAGTGGGTTTCACCATGTTGGCCAGCATGGTCTCAATCTCCTGACCTCGTGATCCGCCCGCCTCAGCCTCCCAAAGTGCTGGGATTACAGGTGTGGGCCACCGCGCCCGGCCTGGAGTTGATACTACACATATTTATTCAAGGGAACAGACTTAAAAGTTTCAGCCCCACAATTCTGAAAAGATCCTTTATGTGTTGACACATATTTATTTATTTTTTTTTAATGGGTTTTTTTTTTTTTTTTTTTTTTTGAGATGGAGTCTCACTCTGTTGCCCAGGCTAGAGTGCAGTGGCGTGATCTTGGCTCACTGCAACCTCCTCCTGCCACGTTCAACTGACTCTCCTGCCTCAGCCTCCCGAGTACCTGGGACTACAGGTGTGTGCCACCATGCCTGGCTAATTTTTGTATTTTTAGTAGAGATGGGTTTCATGTTGGCCAGGGTGGTCTCGAACTTCTGGCCTCAAGTGATCTGCCTGCCTTGGCCTCCCAAAGTGCTGGGATTACAGGCGTGAGCCACTGCGCCTGGCCTTGACACACATTTAAGGCATCCAAATAAAATTTTACTGAATATAAATACCAAACATATTCAATATTTAATTTATTTGCCATGTATCAGTCTTCAAAAATGAATATTTTCATTGTCTTAGTATATTACAAGATATTTTTACCACTCAAATATATTTGATGGCACAAGTTGATGATGCCATTTGTTTTTAGCAATATTTAAGATAAAGTACTAGTATGATAAAATCTAGCATCTCATCATTTCTCTGAGATTTAACTGATAATTGGCATAAAGGCAGTAAGAATCACAGACTTAAAGAAATATAGCCTAAATGAGAAGAATAAGGTGATGGGAGGGCACATTACCTCTTCCTCCCATGGGGAGTACTCTGCAGTGGGAAAGTAGGGAGAACTTTCTGTGAGAAAGAAGGAATAGGAAGGAGGGTGGGAATAAGGAGCAGAGAGGGAGAGGAGGTAAAGGTACACGGAAGAGCTACTGAGACAGAGTCTCCAAAATTTACTGCCCTCCCTCACTCTCACTCCCTAATCTTTACCTCAGCTACCCACACGATAGGAATATGATGCTTCAGATGTGAACAACAGAGGCCCTGAAATCCTTGAGCCCTTTCAAGAGATCACTGTGCTCTGCTGCCTGTGTGTGGAGGTCCATGAACAACTATAACAGGTAAACTTTTATGGATACATTTTCTGGGGAAAGCATTACTTTTTTGTGGTCACTCAAGTCAAAGACCACAAAAGGCTCACAAACTAGTGAATGACCACAAAAGAGTAAGAGCAATTGACATGGAAAGACTGACCGGGTTCAAAATGGACTACTATCTGGCTTTTTTCCTTCCTGCCTTCCTCTAGATTTTAGAAGCAAAACTCATCTTGAGACGGGGTGCACTGATTATCCAATAAATTCCATTAAGGGTATCTTGTTACTTTCAAATATCACACACACACACAGAGCATCTTGAAGAGATCAACTTAGATAAAGGTTTGAAAATTACTTTCCTGAGGTAGGGTGAAAAATCTGAATATATTTAGTCTGGAGAAGTACATATTAAAAGAAGTTATGCTAGCTGTTTTCAGATTTATCCTGTAGAAGCTGAGAAGAGACAAATTTAGTGCTGTTCTGAAAGGCTGGGTTAGAACAAGTATAGATTGCCAAGAAGCAGAACTTGGTTCAAGACAAGGAAAAGCTTCCTAATGGAGCTCTGCTCAACAACAGAGAGTGGGCTCCCTCTCACTTGAGTTCAGCAAGGTAGTCTTCAAGACAGCTAGGGAAGAACTTCCTCATTGAATGGAAAATTGAGTAGTTCTAATTTTATAAAACCACAGGATGTGTGGAATGGGGAAAGAAATCTCGAGAGTCTTGCACCTTAATGAAATAATGAATCCAGTCAATGGGATGCAGGAATTATTAAGCAAAAGGTTCATGGGAAACTTAAAAAGGATGGATCAGGCTGCCTACATTTGAACCCTGTGATCAATCTCATTCCCCCAAAGAGGAAGGATTAGATTTGATAAGCTAAGTTCTTAATATGATTCAATCACCACCCATGAAGCATTCTTGCCAAAAGGGACCTGCACCTGCACCTCATCAAGCCGCTAGAACTAAAAGTTTATGGAAACACAGGTGATAGAAAAACATAAAATGATACCATAAGGTTGAAATCAGCCAAATCCAGAATGTGGAAAATTCTATGAAAAATAACCCAGTTTCTTAAAAAATAAATGGCATGAAAAAAAAGAAAAAAGAAAAAAAAAAAAAAGGAAAGAGGTTGGGGAGGAGAACTGTTAAGAAATTAAGGAAGACTAAAAAGAAAAACAACCAAATGCAGTGTGTAACCTTTTTTGAGTCAATAATGAAATGACATTTTGGAGAGAATAGAGGAAATCTGGACACAGACTGGGTATTACATGATATGAAGAAAATACTGTAAATTTTAAACTTTGATGATGGCATCATGATTACATTAAAAGAAAAGCCTTTATTTGTGAGACACACATATGGAAATATTTATAGGTGATGTAATACAAATGAACAGGGTTTGCTTTAAAATACTTCAGGAAAAAAAGTAGAAGGGCTAGGGAGGGAGACAGAAGATGAATAAAACAAGGCTGGCAAACGTTAAAAAACAGCTGAAGCTGGGTAATAATATATTATTCTCTCTTCTTTTATGTATGTTTGAACACTTCTACAATAAAAACTGAAAAATGAGAAGCGGGGTGGTCAAATTGCAAAACATCGTAAAAAGGAATGTTATACACATGTCTGAATGAGGTAGATGTATACATATTGACTAGAAAACATGGTCCACTGCTAAGTGATACACTATATAACACGGGTTAAAATCCTTACCACTGACTTTGTGTAAAATATTGAGGTTACTTAATTATTTTAAAATCTCAGCTTTCTCACATGCAAATTAAAGATAATAATATCTATTTCATAGAACTGTTTTGAGGGCTGAGAGTACTCCACGTCCAAGAGCTGTGCATGCAACATGGCCCACAGTAAGCATTCAAAAACATTTAGTTGGCCAGGCACAGTGGCTCACGCCTGTAATCCCAGCACTTTGGGAGGCTGAGGTGGGCAGATCGCCAGAGGTCAGGAGTTTGAGACCAGCCTGGCCAACATGGCAAAACCCTGTCTCTAACTAAAAATACAAAAAAAAAAAAAAATTAGCCAGACATGCTGGCGTGCACCTGTAATTCTAGATTCTCAGGTGGCTGAGGCAGGAGAAGTGCTTGAACCTGAGAGGCAGAGGGTGCAGTGAGCCACGATGGTGCCCACTGTACTGCACCCTGGGTGACAGAGGGAGACTGTTCCAAAAAAAAAAAAGAAAAGAAAAAAAATTAGCTAATAGATTCATTACTGAAAAATTAAGTTGCAATAAATACTTACAGTATAATCTTTTTTGTAAAAACAAGAGACTATGTATAACATGTATACATTAGTACAAACAGTGAAAAGTCTGGTAGGGTATACAAAAGTGTTTACAAGGGTGCTGTTTGGGTAAGCAGAGGGCATGACAGCTGCGGACAGGAGACACTTTTACTTCTCCCATAAATACTTACGTATTGTTTAATGTGCTACAAAGGCATGTATCACCTTGCTAATTTAAGAACACCCTATACATGAATTTTTTATCTGTTTTTTGAGATAGGTTCTTGCTCCATTGCCCAGGCTTGAGTGCAGTAGTGTGATCATGGCTCACTGAAGGCTCAATCTCCTGGGCTCAAGCCATCCTCCCTCATCTCCCAAGTAGCTGAGACTAGAGACATGTGCCACCATGCCCAGCTAATTTTTAAAATTTTGTAGAGATGGAGGTCTACATTTCCAAAGCTGGTCTTGAAGTCTTGGACTCAGGCGATCCTCCTGCCTCAGCCTCAGAAAATGAAATACAGGCATGATCCACCACACCTGGCCCCTATAAGTGAATTTCTGAAAAGCTTTGCTTTAGGCTATATAAATACTTCAGAGCAGACTGAAAGGTTTTAGGGGTTGAATAGTTTTGTGGTATCGCCTGAATCTGATTTTATAATGTAATTTCTTTGTAAGTATTATTATCTTATTTCTTGAAAATTAGTAGTAGTGATAATAAAATGTCAAACAAAAACCAAAGTTTGACTGCCTTTTATGCTGTTTTAGTTATGATTTTGAGGTAGAGTGGTCTTACTACATTTGCTGACCCATTAAGCCACAAAATATTTAATACTCTAATTTTTCAATGTCTTTCTTGGTTAATACCACCAAATGGAAATACCAGGTTTCAAGTAATATATAATAACATCTAGTATGTGAATACTTAAGCTGACACAAGGCGAAAACAAAATAATTTAATAAACGATTAGAATTCACAAAGCA